TAGGTAGGTAGGTAGGTAGGTAGGTAGGTAGGTAGGTAGGTAGGTAGATAGATAGATAGATAGATAGATAGATAGATAGATAGATAGATAGATAGATAGATAGATAGATAAGAGAAAGAGAACCTGGGAAACAGGCCATTCTGAGTGTTCAGGAAGTGGCACCAGAAACTCAAACCTCACTGAGGTTGGAACATTCTGGGGCATACCATTTTGCACTTAACAGTCTCAGCCATAATGGTTTCTACCATTATTGGCTGAGCAGCTGCCAGGTCGAGATGAAGTAGCCCAATGATGGGATTCAAATTTTTTTTACTACTGGTTCTGTGGGCCTGGCTTGGTGGGCGTGGCAAGGGAAGGATACTGCAAAATCTCTATTCCCTCCCCACCCCACTAACCTGCTTTCCAGCTCTGTTCTCCTGTGCAGGGCAACAAAAGAAGACCCAGCCAATCAGCTGGGACTTGGGAAGGTGGTATTTGCCGATTCTCTGAACTACTCAAAATTTCCGCTACCAGTTCTCCAGAACTGGTCAGAACCTGCTGAAGACCACCTCTGAAGTAGCCCAAAGAAGAGAGCTTGAATTATGTTATGCAGGGGTGGGATTCTACCAGTTCGCACCTATTCGCTAGAACCGGTTGTTAACATTCTAAGCAGTTCGGAGAACCAGTTGTTAGAAGAAATTACTGGCCTAATCCTGTAAGGAAGGCAGGAAGGAAACATTCTGGTGTTGCTTACAGAAACTGTGTCTCCGTTAACCCTTATTACATTCTCCGCAGAACTAGACTTCCTGTCTCAGGAACTTCTCTGGAGTTTTTTCCCCCTCCTTTGCTGGTACTTTGCTTGTGTGGAGTGACCATTCAAAGTTACAACGGCATTGAAAAAAGTGACTTATGACCATTTTTAACACTTATGACTGTTGCAGCATCCCCACAGTCATGAGAGGCCAGGCGAGGAGATGTGGGCCTCGATGTGAGTGATGTTGAGTTGGCCACACCCAGCCAATAACATGACCATCAAGCCACGCCCACCAACTAAGCCATGCCCACAGAACCGATTGTTAAACAATTTGAATCCCACCCCTGATGTTATGGTCCAAAGCTGATGGAGTATATGGCTGCACTATGGAATGCATCAGGGGCATCTTAAGCCTTTCCCACCACTATGTTTCAGCTCTGGTTTCTCTTGCAGTGTTTCGGCTTGGCAATATCGTGCATGCCATAGTGGCAGCCCATCAAGCTTCCCTGTTGCCCCATGCCATTCCTCGCTTCTGCCTGACTGCCTCCAATGTGAACCGGGCTATGTACTTCGCCTGTGACACTGTCTTGTGGGTGCAGAGCGCTGGGCTCCTCTCGGAGATCAACCAGAAGAAGTGGCGCAACTGGGCGACCAAGTGTTACTACTATTCCCTGGTGATAAACCTGGTCAAGGATTTTTACGAGCTCTGCTGGCGCATGAAGCAGACAGCATCCAGCCAGGCTGAAAGGCCTGAAAAGACCTTGACTCCTGGCAGGCAAAAATTTCAAAACATGGCTTTCCTGGCCAACAGTGAGCTACAGACTTTTCTCCTGCTTGTATTCCTCACGTTAAGGAACTATCCACCCCTTTTGCTGGACACGGTGAAGAACCTTTGCGATATCTTTAGTCCATTGGATCGTCTGGGCATCTACAAGACCAACCCTGGAGTTATAGGGCTGTGTGGCCTGATCTCCTCCCTGGTGGGAATCCTTACTGTGATGAGGCCGCATTTAAGGTTGAAACACTGAGCTTCTCTCAGGACTCCCCTTTTGCACAGTGGCGTTTCACACACCTTGTGCATATTGGCTTCCCTTCGTTGATGATGGAGTTTTGTTCTTCTTACCCCTAGCTGAATTCTTTCTTCTTGACCTGGGTTAAGTCTGGAGAGGGATAAAGGGCCCTTCACTGAAGATCTTTCTCCAGCTATGCAACCAAAGAAGCAAAACTCACACTACTCAAGATGTGTCGGTATCGAGCCTTGGTGAGGAGCCAGTCCGTTGTTTATTCTGGGATAGAGAGCAGCAGATTTGAAATTAATTTGAAAGAGAATGGCCTTCTCAGATTATGTAATCCCCTCTCCCCTGCTTTATAAGGTTTTATTGGTGATATCTGGGATGAATTCCGGAGCTTAACAAACCTTCTTTAACCAGAAACATTAGACTACATGTTCACAGGCAGCCAAATTGCTGTCTCTAGCTAACTGTTAGTTATTTTTGTTTCTGGTCAGACTGTGAAGTTTTTTTTTAGGCTTTTAGTTTTTATGCCACGCTCATTCTTTTGCCTGTGAAATCAAGATGAGCATGTGTTCATCAAAAACACATTTGATCCCCCGGAAGAAGGGTATACAGTATTGGAGCATTGTTTTCAGGTGCTAACTGTACAGTGGAGATGAGGGTGAAGTGTTTTTGTGTGTGTGTGTGTGTGTGTATTTGTACTTTATGCATTGCTAGAAATGAGACCATTCACCTTGGTTGGCAGATGGGACTAACTATTGTGCCTTTTTCTTCAGCATTCCGATTCTCTCTGAAATAAGTGCAATTGTACTTGGTTGAGGGGAAAAATAAAAGAATATCTAAACCTTTCACCTTGCAAATGAGTCCACTGTTTATAATGCATAATAAGATGTATACAGGTAGTCTTTGATTTACAACACTTCATTTAGTGACCATTCAAAGTTACAACGACACTGAAAAAAGGGACAATTGTTTTTTCAGACTTACGACCTTTGCAGCTTCCCTATGGGTCATGTGATCAAAATTCAGACTCTTGGCAACTGACTCCTATTTATGACGTTTGTAGTATCCCGGGGCCCTGTGATCCCCTTTTGTGACCTTTTGACAAGCAAAGTCAATGGAGGAGCCAGATTCACTTAACAGCTGGGTTAGTAACTTATCAATTGCAATGATCCACTTAACAACTCTGGCGAGAATGGGGGCAAAACTCAGTTAACAAATGTCTCACTTGGCAACAGAAATGTTGAGCTCAATTGTGACCATAAGTTGAGGACTACCTGTAGTTGGTTAAGGGTCCCATTCAGTGGTGGGATTCAAAAAATTTTTTTTAATAAACTTTATTAATCTTTTATAACTTTAAAAACAAACAAAATGTATAAATATCTTGACATTAACAGTTTGTGGCATTCATCATATACTATTATTTTGTGCATTATTTACAAGTATATACAATTTATGCAAATGTAAGCATTTAACCTATATGTTGCTTATCATTAATTTTTCATCATCCATCTATCTTAGCTCAATCCAGTCATACCGTTTTTCCAAATCCTATAATACTCGGACTCCTCCTTTTCTTGTAACATCAGAGTTAATTTATCCATCGTGGCACAAGTCATTATCTTTTAGATAGTCAGTTCATCCAGTGGTATGGGATTCAAATTTTTTTTACTACCAGTTCTGTGGGCGTGGCTTGGTGGGCATGGCAGGGGAAGGATACTGTAAAATCTCCAGTCAGAGGTGGGATTTACCGGTTCTCAGAACTACTCAAAATTTCCGCTACCGGAAATCTTCAGAACTGGTCAGAACCTGCTGAATACCACCTCTGGTCCCATTGGCAAAATGACTGAGGGCTGGCTAGCAGCTAGTTGGGGAAGTTATTTTAGTCACCTTCTGGGCGAGCTTTCAATACTTTTTAAAAGAATACAAAGCAAACTGTAAACAATAATTTTAAAAAAGGTAAAAACCAAAACTGTAAAAAGCCACCTAGGTTAGCCCCACAGCAGGATGGGCGGCAAGTAAATGTAATCAACAAGGTAATAAAATAAGTGGAAGGCTGCACTGACAAAGAAGAAAATCGAATACAAAATTGATGTGATCTGAAGGGAAGGGAGGATAATGGCTTCTCATAGGAAAGTTTGATTGGTAACAGAACTTAACTCCGGCACCATTTTGATATGGGAGTCATTAGATTTTTCTAAAGCTCATTCTAGAGAAGCATTGTGTCATTTCACTGGATTTTATGGGCCCTGAACAGTGGTGGGATTCCATTTTTTTTACTACCGGTTCTGTGGGCGTGGCTTGGAAGGCGTGGCAGGGGAAGGCTACTGTAAAATCTCCAGTCAGAGGTGGGATTTGCCGGTTTTCCAAACGTCTCAAAATTTCCTCTACCGGTTCTCCAGAACTGGTCAGAACCTGCTGAATACCACCTCTGGCCCTGAAGCTGCATTACCAAAGTGCATGAGAAACTTAAGAGGACATTTGCAAATGAGAGCCACATGAGAGAGTAAGCAAGAAGAACTAACTGGAGGTGGAATTTAAATGAAGTTTCAAGTTTCTCTGCCAACATCTTCATGTCCTAAGATGCTGGTTAAATTTCTCTGCATATGTTGTGTCTTCATTGGTGAAGGGCAGTTGTCTCCTTTAATGTCCCCAATGTCTAAGCCAAAGATGAATTTGTCTTCTGGAATATGTATATATATTGTAACAATTACTCAGTCCTCTCTCTGCCAACAGTAAAGTTGTTGCCAAATATTTCATTTTGGAATGGCTGTTGCCCTTTGTGCTTCAGTGACCCTTTGCCAGGCTTAAGGGAAGAATTTCTAGTTTACATAATCTCTTTTGCTTTTTTGCCTACATCATGGAGTAATGGATTAGGGTGAAAAGCATTAAACATGCAAAGGGGGAAATGGTAGTTTTCAAGAGTCAGAAGAAGCAGGTATTAGATTAAGTGGTGGGGCAAGGATGAGCTGATCCATCTTTCCCTACGTCTCCAACAAAAATAAATCTTGTTTACTTAAGCATGAAAATGAAACATATTGAAAACTCTGGAATTCACTGAAGGATTTTTCATAGTTATAAAGGAATAGCTGGCAATGACTGAGTATAGATGTCCCAGACATCTACCTTGTTGCCTGGCAGACTTCTTCTTGCAGCTGACTCTCAAAAATATTTTGTAATTAAAAATAAATAAATAGGTGGTTTCGATGCCACAAAAAACCCCCACCAAGCTCTGGCATTATGCTTCTGGGTTCATAAAGGTCTTCCTTATATGATGTATAACACCCAGAAAGATTGATGTGGTCCAGAAAGATCGATATGGATGGTAGATGGATACTTTTGGATAGACTTTAACTTAGCAGCAGTTTTCTGAGGGTGCCCATCACATACTTTGATTTGCCACCAGCCCCAGGGCTTTGCCAAAAGAAGGGAATATTTGTAGCTCAGGGTTGAACTGGTCCTTGGTGCTCTCTGAGCTTGGTTGCTTTCTCTTCATTACCCAGACTAGGTTAACATTATCAATGCACTGAAGTTAGGTAATGAAACTTCAACAAGAAAACAACTAAGCTCAGACAGCACCAAGGACAATTGTGCTACCTGACAATGACAACAACAAGGCTGTTGCTGATTTTGCACAAATTAACATGAAATGTAATGGTGTCGAGGCTGAATATGGTGAGAAGAAAGGGCCAATTTGCATTGGCTTTTAGTGCACAATATGGGGAACTTACTCTGGGCAGGTCCAGTATCTCTTTGCGCACTCCCCTGACCACAGCAGATGATTCCACATACAGCATTGTCTTAATACATTTATATTCCTACACTGGAAAGCCGGAGCCAGAGTCTTGGAAGCAGTTCGTGACTGTGTACAATCACGTTCTGGTAACTCCTGCGACACAGCTGGAACTAATCGTATCGGCTCTACCATTCCATTAGACTATTTCAGTGACGTGGAGAAGGGGGAATCTGCTGCTTGGGTAACAGTTTATCCTCCATATTAAGTTACCCAGGCCTCGTGCTCTGGAGAGGACACTGCAGCTTTGCATACAGCATGGAAACAACACGGGAAGTAGCAGTTACCAGTTTCATAGCACGATACCATAGTCTTGAGACTAAAGGATGCCAATTCAATTCAATTCACTGGAAAGCTGCATGTGTCTTTAACAAGTGAGAGGTAGTATTGCAGGATCCAGTCTGGATCCGTCTGGAGGTTTAGTCTTCTAAGCTCATGCTGGAGCCCATCTTCAGGGAAATTCTCTCTCACCAGAACTTCTCTCTCTGCTAGAGTCCGAAAGCTTGTGTACCTCCAGGTGTATGCCAAGTATTGTCAAGGTAATAAAGAAAATAAAGCCTGTGCCACAGGGAACCTAGTCTGACACCCTGGCATCTTATTCAGGCAAGGTTCCTTTTTAAATAGGACAGGGAGATCAGCAAGGAATTCCCTAAAAGCACCTGGATTCACCACACCACCCCAAAAAAGAGTTGGGTTAGGTACTTTCCAAAGATCCCAAGAGTTTTCACATTTTGTTATGTTGCTTGGACAATTCTTTCCATAATTTGGAGTTGCACTTGGCTGGTATTTCAGACATCTGTTTGAGTTTCAGGGGGCCCAAGGGAGCCATCTTGCTTAATCACTGAAGAAGCTTGGCAGAATGATTGAGCTGGAAGGTGGGGCTTCATAGCATTACAGTCTGGAGCATGAGTTTCTTCTTTCACTGTCGAGACGGCACTGCTGGCACCCTGTTCAAAACTGCTTGACTTCTGCAACCTGTGAGTACCTTCCCTTACTTTGAAATTGGTTTCTAGAATCACTTTAGGCAAGCTACCACCCAAAAGTAAGTAAGCCACAATTGGGTTTGCTTAACATGTTGACCAGCAAACCATGGTTTATAATTACAGTAGTTGGGTTAGTGCACTGGGCCATGCCAAACCAAACAAACAAGTTTGGGTTTTGTGTGATGTGAGAACCTGGCCATTGCTTCCAAGAGATTAAAGTCCTCTCTTGTACATGGGCAAGCTGAAAGCCATGTAATAGGAGCTTAATTTTCCCCATCCTGTTAAAATCCTCAGGATTCAGTCATGCATGCAAAGAATGGCCTTTCTTACTGAGGCTGAACAATTGCTGCAGCCAGCTTTCTCTAACACAGGCTGTATTCCTGGGCTTTTGTTCTTTTAAATAATCTTGTTGAATCCTGGAGCATCTGAAGGAACAGACTCGGACTGAATCCATCTGAGATGGATTAGCTTTGGGTTGGTAGGCCAGAGGAGTCCACGGAAATGCCATCTCTGACTCTGAATGGCATTCATCAGAGGGGGTTTCGCAACTGATCAGCAGGTAGCATCTGTAGCCAGGGGGGCTTTTGCATACTGTAGTTACATTTGATGTGCCAATTATGAGCAATGGTGGCCATGCTGCAGTCATTCGTGTCTTAGTCACTTCCTGTTTAGATTACTGTAATGGGGTAAAAATAAGAATATCCTTAGAATGAATTTGGAATCTACAAAATGAAGTGGCCCGGGCAGTAATGGGTCTATCTCGGTATATTTAGGTGAGCCTTTTGGGGAGCTGCATTGGTTGCTTCTGGGTGGGATTGACGTTCTGATTGTCACCTTTAAAGGTCATCTGAGGAATCACCTTCTTCAATATTTGTCTTTCTATTGGATTGGCTCAAATAGGGTCATTTCCTTCCATTTCAGTACAAAAATGCCACCTAATGGGGCCTCAGTCACTGCTCTCATAGTCTTTATTTCCTCCCCAGAGAGATCGAATCTGCTTCTTCTCTTCTGGGTTTCAGGAGAGAAGTTAAGACTTGGCTATTCCAAATGCAGAAGGAGAGCACAATAGAAAGCTTTTTGTTCTTCTTATTCTATACTACCCGATAACCCGGCTTTGCCCGGGTATTTATTTATCCCAATCCTGTATTAGACAGGAAAATCCTGTAGTTGGGACTCACGCTGTTGTACTGTCTGTCGCGCAGCGTCACAAGTCTTCTATCCCTGTCCTCGGGAGTTTTTTGTCTACGCTGTGTTTCATTTTTTTGATTGCACTCGGCCAATAGCCTGACATTTCCTTGGAGGGCTGAGAGGGAGCCCCCTTGTGGACTACTGTGAAGCTGTTACCATGGCAAGTCCACTGTGCTGTACAGTAGAAGCCATTTTAAGGTACTCACACACCCTGAGGGGTGTTAGGGGTGTCTTACCCCCACAGTATTTGTTTCCAGAGAGCAAGTCATCTGTGTACCAAGTTTGGTTGGAATTGCATTCCAATTTTTATATATAGAGAAGATAAATCATTAGAATCATGACTTAGTGGGACTCGTATTCAGCATTCACAGATCCTCTGTAAAAGAGTAGATAAGCAAGGGCAAAAATGCACTTTTCTAATCTTATAGAAGAATATTCCCTGCAAACTACTGGAATTTCCTCTTTGGAATGGGGATTAATTGAACAAGAGTCAGGAACATTGGTTCCTATATTCATCTGGTCTTTCCATCAACAATAAAACATAGAATAGCAGAGTTGGAAGGGACCTTGGAGGTCTTCTAGTCCAACCCCCTGCTTAGTCAGGAAACTCTACACCACTTCAGACAAATAGTTATCCAAACCCATCTTTAAAACTTCCAATGTTGGAGCATTTACAACTTCTGGAGGCAAACCGTTCCACTGATTGATTGTTCTCACCATTAGGAAATTCCTCTTAAGTTCTACATTGGTTCTCTCCTTGATTAGTTTCCATCCATTGAGAACAATTAACCAATGGAACAGCTTGCCCTCGGAAGTTGTGAGAGCGCCATCACTTGAGACCTTCAAGAAGAGATTGGATTCCCATCTGTCAGAAATGGTGTAGGGTCTTCCGCTTGGGTGGGGGGTTTGACTAGATGACCTATAAGGCCCCTTCCAACTCTGATTATCTGTTATCTGTTATCATTGCTTCTTGTCCTTTCTTCTGGTGCTTTGGAAAATAGGTTCACCCCCCTCTTCATTTTGTTCATGGCAAAGTAATTTTCATATCCTTAATACAACTCACATTATGAACACCCCCTATCATGGGAAAGCTTGAAGAGAAATGCATTGTCATCATATAATCCCCTTTTATAGTTGCTGTAAGGTGGGGAGCTTGTTCTGTGTTATGGCCACGAATTTCATAGCCTACTTAGGTGCTGTGTGAATATATGCGGTAATTTCTTTGGTTTATTGAAACTCTCCTGCATCTTTATTCCCTATATTACCCCTGGATTATGCAACATTTTATACATGTCCCATGATTTAGTTGCAGGCTAATGCTTGATGATGGCAGCGAAAAACAAACCAGTAATGCAGAATGGAAGCCCCAAGGTAAGTTGATCCAACAGGGAACCTCCTTTTTATAATAAAGCTATAATTATCACTCTCAAAATGGCTTAAAAATCATTAACATCAAAATGTATTAACAGCGGCTAGGATTGTATTTGCTAAAAATTGGAAAAATGAGAAAATACCATTGCAGGAGGAAACCATTAAGAAAATATTGGAATGTGCTGAAATGAGTAGATTGACATTTGAAATTAAAGAACAAGAGGATAAACAATTTTGCAAAATTTGGGACCTTTTCTATCAATGGTTAGATAATAAAATATAATAATGGAATATGTAGATTTTTAGAAAATAACGAATATATAAAGATGTATTTCTTTTCTTTTTTTATTATTATATCTATAAAATGTTTCTAGGATAGATTTGGGAGGATTATATGAATTGTTATAGTATAAACTAAGTAAATTATAGTTATCTCATAAAGTATGAATGAACAAAATTATAGTCAAATGATTGATAAATAATGATATTAAGGTATTCAATTTTTGGATTGATAATATGAGTTATTATGCAATGTAACTCTAATTGAGACTATGAAATGGATGCACAAAATTTTTGTAAACCAACCGACACACTGCTTGTACACTTATGGAAGAAAGTTGGATGTTTTTATGTTTTGTTTGTTTTTGTTTGTCTTTAAAAACCAGTAAAATTTACAAAAAAAAAAAAATCATTAACATCAGCAAATGTCTGGTGAGACACCATTTATACTATTTCTGAATGTCTTTTCAAAAAGTTAGCTGACAGGTTCAGGAGACCTGATCTACTTCTACAAGCTAAAGCAAATGTTAACCTTGGCTGAATTAGACACTATGCCTGCTATTTTTTTTTTTTTTTAAAAGCTATCTCTGTATGTCATAATCGTTTCATTTGAAAGAGAGCAACCCAGGCCACTGTTCCAGAAAAGAGTTTGGATTGCAAATAATATGAAACAACAAAAAGAAGATTCCATAGCCTAAATGTAAAGCTCTAAGAATATTTCTTTGCCTTTTTCACATTTTTTGTAAATAGCAGCTTGCGGGGGCGGGGTGGTGGGAAGGATGAAGTTTCAAATGGGTAGACGTATCTTTAAGGGGACGTGGTGGCTCAATGGCTAAGATGCTGAGCTTGTCGATCAGAAATGTCAGCGGTTCGAATCCTTCCCCTAATGGAGTGAGGTTCTCTTACTTGTCCCAGCTTCTGCCAACCTAGTAGTTCGAAAGCATGTCAAAATGCAAGTAGAAAAACAGGGACCACTTTGGTGGGTATAAAACAGTGTTCCATGCGCCTTCAGTGTTTAGTCATGCCGGCCACATGACCACGGAGACGTCTTTGGGCAGTTCTGGCTCTTCAGCTTTGTAACGGAGATGAGCATTATCCCCTAGAGTCAGAAACGACTAGCACGTATGTGCGAGGGGAACCTTTACTTTTAACTTTCCTTTACATTGTTTTGGGATGAAAATTGTCCCACTGGTTGTTCTTTCAAACCCATTTGTTGTACTGGTTAAATGCACCAGGCGGGGAGATTTTGAGTCTAATTCTGCCTTTGGTGTGAAGCCACCTGGGTGACTTTGGAATAGTGACTCTCTCCCAGGAAGAAGACAGTAGCAGGCCAATTCTGAAAATGTTGCCAAGAAAAGGACATGGATTTGTCCATGTGGTTGCCATAAGTCAAGATTGTTCTGAAGGCCCACAAACACAAGCTATTCTTTATGTATGATACGGAGCATAGCTTATGCAGTCCAATCTTTTCTTAACCTCCAGCCATGGAGCACCCACAACTTCTGAAGGCAAGACATTCTACAGAATCATTGTTCTCACACTCAGGATATTTCTCCCTAGATCGAGATTGCTAAATAAATAACCAAGCTTGGCTGATCAATGGGCCATTTGGAATGTTGTTGTTGTTGTTGTTGTTGTTGTTAACACAGCATCCCCAGGTCTGTCTAGGAAAGAAATCCCATAGATAACTTATGCTTTGGATAGCAAAGATGCCAGATCCCAGTCAATTCTAAACCAGATTAAGAATAAATGATAGTTACTATAATGTTCTCACTGTTCTTTCAAGGGATATTTTCTCTCCTCTGATTATATTTGCATCCTCTTTTTTTTTTCTTGTACAGCAAAGCAGTGTGTTACAGAGAGTTCTGCAGTTTCCTGTGGTGAATTCAGCCCTCAGCAGTCTCCAGAGGACGTATGCCAGTGCCAAAGAGATTCATCCCTTGATGGCATCCATATGTGCCACCTATGAGCGAGCTCTCCAGAATGCCAGTTCCTTGGCTCTGTGGAGTGTGAAGCCTGTGGTACACAAGCTGGAGCCTCAACGTAAGTGTTGCACAAGCTTCATTCTGAAAAGGACCCAACACCGCCCCCCCTCCATTTTCATTTCTCACAATGTCAGCTGCTTTAACCTTTAAGTCCGTTCTTTAGTGCCCAGTGGTGGGATGCAAATATTTTTACTCCTGGTTCTGTGGGCGTGTCTAGGTGGGTGTGACCATGGGACTGGGTTTTCTTGGCTTTTCTTTTTTGCAGCAACACCCTCTTCCCCCGCGCTCTGTTTTTGTTTTGTTTTTTGCCTCCTGGGCCTCAGGGAAACCTGGGCGAAGCAGTAAGACAGCGAGGGATTTCCAGCACAGCTGATCATCAGAACAGCTGATCATCAGGAGGAAAAAAGAAATACCAGTTCAGCTGAACTGGTAGCTGTTTTTTTACTACCAGTTCAGCCAAATGGTAGCATTTTTTATTACCGGTTCACCCGAACCAGGCCGAACCAGTAGAATACCACCACTGGTAGCGCCCCAGGTGGATGCATTACTGACACATTCTGGATTTTCTGGAGAATTAAATAAATTACAGCCCATTGTTCTGTGACTCAGTAAGTGAATAAATATTAATCATTTTATTAGACTACAATTCTTTTGTACATTAGTGCCTTTGAATTCCCACCATGGCTTGAAGTATTGCTATGTAAGGCACATTGTGGGAAATGTCTGTAGAGATTCTCAGTCATCCAGGTTATGGTTATCCCAAAGGTGCTTTTTCAGGAAGCAAGTGGACTTTCTTGTTTTTTCTTTGAAAGACGTTTTGCTTCTCATCCAAGAAGCTTCTTCAGCTCAAACTCAGGTGACCCTGAGGACAGATAAATCTCCAAATAGCCTCAATGACTCTCTAAAAGAATGCAAATGACCAGCTGTCTGCAAGAATATAAATCCTTCTATTGTCCACCATCCAGTCAAAGTTGAAGAAGCTTCTTGGATAAGAAGCGAAATGTATTGAAAGAAAAACAATAAGAAAGTTCAGTTGCCTCCTGAAAAAGCACCTTTGGGAAACATTGTGGAAAATATAATAAACCATAGAGTTCCATAAAGTTCTTTCTCTGAACCATGCTGAATTTCTACCAGATCATTCCAAGATAGTTCAGAGATTTTCCAGAATACCCCATACTGGTAGCATTGAAGTCTGGCAGCACTCCAGCTGTTTCATGCCATGGAATGCCATATCAATGATTTTCAGTTGCAAACTTGACTTATAGATAACTATCAAACAACCCCTATGTTCTGGAAGAACATAGTCCAGCAGAGGGATGGCACATATTAAAATTCTCCAAAACGCACCATTCTCCAAAAGGAGGTTTGCACATAACTACACTCTACGATGAGGAATGCAATTTGTAACATGGTAGCATGTCTTGTAACTGTGGTTTTAGTGCACCACTCAAACATAGTCTATGAATCTTGGTGAAATTTTTTGTTTCCAATTTTTTTTATTTCAATCTGCATATGCACAACAATACATTAACAGTGTGACATCAATATATCATACAGTTTAGTATAGGCAAAATTAAAAATATCAATCATATCTCTCAATGCATATATTTCACATTAATTCATAATCCTTCAATGCTTATTTTCAACCTTTCAAAACTCTCTCCAAATGCCTACCACCATATCAGTTAAACATACCTAGTAATCCCATTATTCAATTTTCTCCCTGCTTTTATTTTATTTTTTAAAATAAAAAATTCTCATTTGGCAAGCAGTGTGGTTCCAGGTTTCACATCTCAATACAAACATAACCATAGTTACCTGTTCATTATATTTGTTTAGTTTCATATTGCGTCATTCTTATTATTGTTAAATATTAAGCTTATCTTATCCAATTCAAATTCATGTTATATTAATACATTCTTATATCTTATTTTAGAATGTTATCTAAAATTCTCATCTCATTCTGTTGTCATTTCTCATATTACTTTTTTCTGCCACATTTGTCATTTTATCAATCCTTATCTGTAAATATAATTGTCCTCTCTGATTAATAATTCGAGCTAACCACCTTCATTCTACCTTAATATCAATCTCCCTGTCTAGTACATAACACAGATATATATATTTTTCTCAGATTCCACATTGTATTTTCTCAAACACCTTAGGAATCATCTATACATTACAAAATACTATTTTCAATATATTCTTATACATCACAACATATTACCTTGTGGAATCTCCTTCCTTATCCTTTTTTTTCACCCATTATCTCTCACTCTTTGGACTTTCTTTTCATCCTTGTTTGTTTCCTATTCCTCTTTGTTTTCTGGTCCTTTCTCTTAATTCCTTTTTTTCCCATTCTTATTCCCCTCCATTTCTCATTCCAGTTATTAAACTTTTCTCTCTCCCTCTTTTGATTTTTCTTTTGCCCTTCCAATTCTTGGTGAATTTTTTGTGAAGATATAGGGGAATCAAGTAGTCCAGTGGCTGACCATCCCTTCCATTCCAGGACTGTTTTAATGTTCTTCTCTCCTTTTTTTTGGTTCAGTTGCAGCAGCCAATGTTTTGGCTTGCCAAGGTTTGGATCATTTGGAGAAGATACCTATCCTTCAGAAACCAGTGGAAGAAGTAAGTTGTTTTTTTTTTAAAGCATAAGAAAACTGTCTTGCTGAATTAGACCAGGATTGTAACCTAGCTGCACTTATTTCATCCTGGACCCAAGTTCCAAGTATAGCTCTCATCTCAAAAATGTAGGCTTTCATGACTTAAATGTTGGTGTCTGTCTAGAAGCTGCTGAATTCTCCATTAGGACTATACTAGCCTGGACCTCCTTCTTCCTATTTACTTTTCTGCTAATTCTGCCAGACAGATCTTGCTTGAAAACGTAAAATGGTCATAAAGAACTTGCTTCATTATCTCTTCCTCAGGCTACATCTGATTTGAAGGACACCATTCTAGCTCACCTTCACTATGCTATATGCTCTGTCGTGGACATCCTGGACAAAGTCTTAGGACTGTCTGCTGAAAATAATGAGCAGTCCAAGAACAACCTGAAGATCAAGAAAGAGAATGCAAAGAGCAGACAAGCGAACCGGGTAGCTAAAACCTCTGCAGCTGACAAGCTGGAGAAGGTGGAGGATTGGAAAATGGAGCCCAATTCAGGTTAATATAGTGCTCGGTTCATCTATTGTAAAAAAAAATATCATCTTGGAGCTGGAAAACTTCATATATGTACCCTAGTGTTCTGCTTAGCAAGATATTTCAGGATTGTCTTATTTGTTCCTCAATGGAGATTACCTGGCCGTGTTATTCTTTTTTTTTTTACATTGCATATAAAGTTTTATTGAGAGATTGCAATATATTTCCATATTTGTTACAGAGCTAAATTGTTCTGACATTAACACAGTTCGAGACAAATTGCTTGTTTCCTCATATTATAAAATTTTATTTTATCTATTTTTTTTCAAAAGAAAATTTTAATACAGTATTTGCCTAGTCTTAATCTTTATATAACTTTTTGAAGAGTGGCTAATCGTTATTAACAAGCCCATAACTAGTGACAGGGTTGAGACTGTACTAGGATTGGTGTAGGACAGGTTCATACTGAATTTATGAATTAGGCATTTCAGCAGCTGCAAACATAGGGTACAAAACTGTTTTCCAAACTGGATCTGAGAACAAAATAATTATTTGTGTGAACCCGCAACTGTTTTTTTTTTAATTCTTATTAATTTTTAAAGAGTCCAGTAGTTGAACCTAGGTGGGCCTCCATAAATATCTCAAACTGTGTTTGCTCCATCTCCTAGTTCTAAGCTAGGTTATATGCCCAATTTGTTCTCCTAATAAGCCATTTCAAGATCCACTTCTCCTACTGTAGCTTCTTATTCTTCATCTTTAAACTGGGCAGACTTTTTAAAAAAATGCTTTCAAAAAGTAGATAGGTCCTTAGATGTTCCTGATACAAGAAGGTAACTGTCTGTCTGGTATTGTCATCAGAGCTGGTTTATCTTCCTACCTTTGAGTGAAGGGGACATTCTGCTAACCTTGTCCCTTTGCAGACCTCTAGAGCAGAGTTTTTCAACCCTGGCAACTTTAAGATATGTGGACTTCAGCTTCCAGAGTTTTTCAGCCAGCAAAACTGTTGGGATAAAGAAACACTGTTTTAGTCTATAACTCCAGTGAGATAGAAAGGTTGATGGAGATAATTTGCTGAGATAACTGAGTTGACTTTTTTGATTAAAAAATGACAATATGTTTATTACATACTAGAAACTCTTTATGGACTTTTTGCATAGAACAGGAAAAAATGAACATGATTTATGGTTCTGATTATTAGACAGGACAACTTATAAAAAGAAAAGAATTATGTTGTTATGTTGTAATCATAGACTAAGAGATAAATTTGTAATTGTACTTATGACTGCTGTAAGAAAGATCGGAAACTATTTCTTAGTATCTTTTTTTCTATTTTTCTTTTATTTCTGTTACATTTTTCCACTTAGCTTTCTCCTTGTTTTCTTTCTCTTACTTTATATTAGTTTGTATTAGCATTTATCTGCCTTTTTTTAAAAAAAAAAAAATCTTCAATAACATTATATAAAAATAGAATGTAAATTAGGCAGTTTTGTATCTCTGCCACAGTCTGAACTAAAAAGTGACAGAAATCAGATTGAGGATATAACCTGTCATTATTTGTGCATGGTTGTTTTGGTTCCACTTAAAATATTGTATCCAAATAAAAAGAGAGAGCATCTTTTATTTTTCCTTTTTCAAAAAAGAAACAACATATGTTGTTTGGCAGCCAGAGCTTTGATGAGATGCTCGTCTTGTTAGTTTCATAAACTCATTTTGTTTATCAGAAATTAAACCTGGGTATTTTCCGGTTTCGGAATTCAAATGTTGTAATCCTGATTTCTTATAAGACATTTTGGGGTTGGCCAACAATGTCAAGTTATATGGTTGCAGTTCCTTAGGCTCCAGTACCCCTCTTTCCACAAGATGGTGCTAGAAACATTCCAACCTCCGTTTTTTTGAGGTTGTTAAAGAACTTGCTGAATATGAGTCACAATTCCTTTTCAACACTGCACACAAACTCACATCATTTGCTACAGCAATGTTTTCAAAATCCAAGTTATAAGAATTGTGGATGGAGCTTTTTTTTTTCATAAGTGGAAAGCTGATGTTCCATAGTTCCATTGTTTCTGGATTGACACTGACAAAAAAGGGGGTTGAGACTCTAGAAAGAGTGCAGAGAAGAGCAACAAAGATGATTAAGGGACTGGAAGCTAAAACGTATAGAGAATGGTTGCTAGGACTGGGGATATATCTAGTTTGATGAAAAGAAGGACTCGGGGTGACATGATAGCAGTGTTCCTCAGGGGCTGCCACAAAGAAGGGAGAGTCAAGCAATTCTCCAAAGCACCTGAGGGCAGGATAAGAAACAATGGATGGAAACTAATCAAGGAGAGAAGCAACTAGAACTAAGGAGAAATTTCCTGACAGTTAGAACTATTAACCAGTGGAACAACTTGCCTCCAGAAATTGTAAATGCTCCAACACTGGAAGTTTTTAAAAAGATGTTGGATAACCATTTGTCTGAAGTGGTGTAGGGTTTCTTGCCTAAGCAGGGGGTTGGATTAGAAGACCTCCAAGGTCCCTTCCAACTCTGTTATTCTATTCTATTTTATCCTATCCTATGCTATTCTATTCTAAATGTCTGAGAGGTCGGTGTGGGTTCCACGGCTTGGAAGAAGAGATGAAATTAAATGTATGTTGCCTGAGCTACCAAAATATCTACTTTTTCCCATTCATCCATAATCAAGACTGCTCACAGGCAGAGATGCTCTGGTGATATAGAACAGTGGTTCTCAATGTTTTCTTCACCATGGACCCTCTTTAAATACCTTTTGTGGCCATGGACCCCCAAGATTTAAGATTTAACTCATAATGTTTCTTCAAGCCTTTGTGATGACATCATGGCCCCCTCAGGTGTCCACAGACCACAGGTTGAGAACCATGGATAGACTGTATGGCATCATTTAACTTCTTTTAATCTATAGGAGAACAACGGTCTGGTTTATTATTAATTATACCATTTTCCCATTTCTTACTTGTAGTCCACAAGTCTCCAGCAGGATGGGAATCAGAAAAGATGACTCCTTCCAGTGCCCTTGCAAATATCAGGTCTTTAGTTGCTGCTGTTTCCCAGATTGCTTTCAGACAGACATCTCAAGCCATCCAGGTTACCAAAGACACAGGACTGAAACTGGCTTTGTGGATCTCGTATTTGGTAAGTGCCATAGCATTGGGTTGACAAATTTGTATATGCTTTTGAACCAAAGAGTACTTTACCAGTATAAAAAGGTAAAGGTTCCTCTTGCACATACTGTATGTACTAATCATTTCCGGCTCTAGGGGGAGGTGCTCATCTTTGTTACAAAGCCAAAGAGCCAGCACTGTTCAAAGACATCTCTGTGGTCATGTGGCTGGCAGGACTAAATGCTGAAGGCACATGAACCTTCCCACCAAAGTGGTGCCTATTTTTCTATTTGCATTTTTACATGCTTTCAAACTGCTACATTGGCAGAAGCTGAGACAAGTAACGGGAGCTCACTCCATTACGCGGTGCTAGGGATTCGAACCACCGAACTGCTGACCTTTCTGATCAACAAGCTCAGCGTCTTAGCCAATGAACCACCATGTCCTTTTACCAGTGTAGTAAATGGCTTTTCATCTATTTATTAATCAAATTTATATAACTGCCCATCTTGTGAGAAATTACTCTGTTTGGCATTTGTTCAATTTATACTTGAAAAAAGAAAAAGAAAATTTTCTTCAGATCTTTCTCTAAGATCTGTTGCTGTTCCAGGGGCACAGCATATTCAGTAGTTTGGAGTATGGAATAAGAATTTTTCAGGACTTCAGGTAGATTACTGTGCAAATTGAACGAGTATGTAACACCTTGGCTGCAGGAGCTCATTTTGCTTCCAGATTCAATTCAATGTGTTGGTCAAAGCCCTACATGGCATGGGGACAAGTTACCTTGGAAATAATCTCATCTTGATTATGTCAACCCATTTCATCCAGTTAGTAAGGGAAGGTATGCTATGGATCACATTGGTTAAAACAGAGGTCTCCAAACTTAACAACTTTAAGACTTATGGACTTCAACTCCCAGAATTCCTTGGATTGGCAGAGGAATTGTGGAAGTTGAAGTCCACAAGTCTTTAAAGTTGCCAAGTTTGAAGACCCTTGGGTGAAAGAATTTCAATTGACAGGGTCTAGGAAGAGGACTTTCTTTGCCATAGCTCCTACCTTCTGGAATACTTCTCCCACCCTGAGGTGACGAGGCCTCTGATCTCCTGGTCTTTCATAGGACTTTGAGGACTTGGCTTTGCCAACCAGCATGGAGCTCATTGAGTAGGATCCATCCCTGGGGCCAATTGACACCTTGATAGCCTTCCCCTCACCTTTTAACTTTTAACATATTTTATTCTTGTTTTTAGCTGGCTCTATTTTGAAGTATTGTATTTTATATGGGTTTTAGATTTTTATGGTTTAATTGTACATATTACACTTAATGCAAGCAAGTTGGGCAGCATCCAAATTCAACAAATAAAAATAAACTTTGCATTTATCTTAAGAAAGCCAAACCAGGATTTTAGTGAGGTTTGGATCCTTTTGTCCAATGAACAACATAATCATCCTTGCTCAGCTATTTCCTAGATTCTCTGCATATCATTTCCTAAGCTACTATCCAGATTTTGAGCAGACAAAATAAGTCTGGATTCTTGTTTCAGAAATCAGGACAAGTCCTGGCTAAAAAAGCTACTGCTTAGAAACCAGTGATAGATCCTGCTTTCAAACTATGCCCCTGTTTCCCCATTATGGGTTTTGTTTTCCCTGCAGAAAGGGGTTTGGCGTTTGGCTTGGGTCTCTTTTGAAGGATAATCATGGTGAAGAAGTTTTAACTCAGCTGCCTCCTGTTTTGAGAGTCTAATCTCTAGTAAAGATCCCCTTTCCATCTCTGGGACATGGAGGTGAAGGTGAAAAGGCTGTTTTATTTTTAACTGGCTTTATATAGTTATTCATGGATTTGATTAACATCTTTCTCAAAGTCCATTGGGACTACTGATTTTAAACAGGAAGATAAATGTGTAAATACACAAACACAAAGAGAGGGGTGGGGAGGGAGGGAGGAAGGAAAGAAAAATAGATGAGTTAAGAGAGGAAGGAAGGGAAAATATGAGTAAGAGGAAGGAAGGAAGGAAGGAAGGAAGGAAGGAAGGAAGGAAGGAAGGAAGGAAGGAAGGAAGGAAGGAAGGAAGGAAGGAAGGAAGGGAGGGAGGGAGGGAGGGAGGGCTGGATTTTATATGTTTCTTGAATTTGATTCATTGAAACCAAAACCAGAGAGATTTTGAGAGTGATTTAAAAGGATGTGTTTTTAATCAATGCATAATTAATTGTAAGATGTGGCCACCAATGGGGCTGTCTAGAAAAAGGGACTCAACAGATGCAGGAGAACAGCTTGCATGGCTGAATGCCACCTACTGAATTGTAGGCATTGTGTTCTTTAGTGTCAGTGTCTAAAAGGGAATAGTGGAAAAGAAGTGCTCGTCCAGTTCTCGTTCAGCCATTTCTGGCAAGGAATACAGAACAAGATGGGCTCGTATTCTAATCCAACCTGCTGTGAAGAAGAACTTTCCTACATTCTGAAGTGGCGGGGGGGGGCAGTAGCTCAAAGGGGAAGCACTTGTTTGGTTTTGGTCTCTAGCATCCTCTTTATGAAATATTGGAGTGGAATAGAATGGAATGGAATGGGGATGGAGATGGGGCTAGAGTGGAGTGGAGTGGAGTGGAGTGGAGTGGAGTGGAGTGGAGTGGAATAGAATAGAATAGAATAGAATAGAATAGAATAGAATAGAATAGAATAGAATAGAATAGAATAGAATAGAAATAAGAATGGAATGGAATGGAATGGAATGGAATGGAATGGAATGGAATGGAAGAGAAGAGAAGAGAAGAGAAGAGAAGAGAAGAGAAATAAGAATAGAATGGAATGGAATGGAATAGAATAGAATAGAATAGAATAGAATAGGAATAGGAATAGGAATAGGAATAGAATAGAATAGAATAGAATAGAATAGAATAGAATAGAATAGAAT